TTCGAATACCAGTGCATCGCTAGATACGAATGCACCAGACGTCTTACCCTGTAGGCCACGACGACTTCAAAAATATTATTGCAGAAACTTGGAAAGTTTTATTGCAGAAAGATAATACTATTATTATCTTCCATCTAGTCATGTAAAATCTACTTTATTTTTTATCCAAAACAGGCGTTTATCTGTTCGTCTGTTACAAAGTTGCGCAGTTGAATTAATCATTGTCGGTCACGCCTTTCCTGTGTTGCCAGGTATGTATAGCTCGAATTAAACTGAAGTGTGCCTCAAAGCTTACATCTTACTTTAAATTGTTATTTACATTTTAGACAATTTTAACTGTACGAGAAGATTCTTCATTCAAATGTCCACTTTTTTCTAAATTACTAGATTTTTCCTGCTAGTCCATTCCAAATCGCTTGCCTTAATACTGAGTGAGAAATCTATCTATTTATGTAGCGCCTTTATTGTGTTATTTCATCATGTTTTTTTTCCTCGACAAATAGGCTAGTGTTGACGTATTTTACCCCTACCTATTCGCTGTTTAGCATAAGAGGCTATTCCGGCTACGCACGGATGGGTAGATAGATGATCTCACGGACTCAACCTGAGAGAATTTGCCAACACTAGCCCAAGCAAGAGCAGTGCTTCGCAGAATGTACTACCTAATCGGAATCGCGCGTCCCCTTCCTCCTCCCCCGTCAAGCATGGACGAGGGCTGGACGGAAGTGGTGAAGCGGGGCACCAAAACATGGCGACAAACAGCAGCTCTGGCAGCTCCTCGAGGGGATCGAGTGTCGACTGCTGTAGCACGAAACACAGCGCTGGCGGCCGTGGCTGCTCCCCGCGAGGGTCGAGCACCGGCCGCTAGCAAGACGAAAAACAAAAAGAAGAAGCCGCGCGCAGCGGGGTCGGCTGCCGTTGTAGTGACGTTGCTGCCGGCCGCCGCCGAAAAGGGCCTCACCTATAATGAGGTTATGGCCCGGGCGCGCGCGGCCGTAAATTTGAAAGAAATTGGAGCAGAGGAGGAGGGCCTCCGCTTCCGGCAGACCGCCAATGGGGCGAAGCTACTGGAGTGTCCCGGTGCCGATAGTTCTGGCATCGCGGATAAACTAGTGGCGACGCTCCGCGTGGCGTTGCCGGAGGAAGAGGTGCGTGTGCACAGGCTGGTGAGGATGGCAGAGATTAGGATCACCGGCCTGGACGACTGCGCCACCAAGGAGGAGGTGGCAGCCGCGATAGCCGCTCAGGGGGGATGTGCCCCGGAGAGCGTGACCGTCGGTGAACTTCGCTTAGGGTACTCCGGGGCCAGGTCGGCGTGGGCGCGCTGCCCTGTGGAGGCAGCCACTTCCTTGGCCACTCCTCCACCGGGAAGATCGGCGGGGGATCCGGGGAGACTGCGCGTGGGCTGGATAGCGGCCCACGTGCGTCTCCAAGAACCACGTGCCTGGCGATGCCTCCGATGCTTTAGAACGGGGCACGGCCTCGCTAGGTGCACCAGCTCGGTTGACCGCAGCGGTTTGTGTTTCCGCTGCGGCCAGCCGGGCCATAAAGCGGCGTCCTGCACAGCTGACCCACATTGCGCTTTGTGCGTTGCAGCCGGACGCAGGGCAAACCACCGGGCGGGAGGCAAGGCGTGTTTCCCGTCCGGTAATAATACCGAACGCAACCGGCGCCGGAAATCAAGGCGCCGGCAAAAGAGAAGGTTGGCCAGAGGAGCACTGGCCGACGCTGTAATCCCCGCTGCGGCGCCGGCGCCGGAGAGCGGGGGCAGCGGTGAAGGGGAGGGGGCGATGGATGTGGTCCAACAGTAATGGACCGCACCTATCGCTTCCTCCAAGGAAACCTGAACCACTCCGCCAGAGCTCAGGACATGCTGTCTCAGAGCATGGCGGAGTGGTCAATAGATGTGGCTGTGGTCGCCGAGCCGTACTTCGTTCCCCCGGCAAATGATTGCTGGTTTGGGGACGATGGCGGCCTGGCGGCCATAGTCATAAGAAGAGACGCGGCGATCCCCCCCCTGGCGATGGTGACCAGGGGCCAAGGGTTCGTCGCAGTGCAGCTGGAAGGGACCGTCGTGATCGGGGCATACTTCTCTCCGAACAGGCCTACCGTCGAGTTCGGGCATTTCCTGGGCGGGATCGGGGCGATTGCTCGCCGCCTCGCTCCTCGTCCAGTGATTCTCGCGGGGGACCT